ATACATATATATATACTTTGTAGGGAACAACATGCTCTGGTGGATCATATTATTTGCAAGGGGTTGTGATAAAGGACAAAGGACCAGTTTTTGTCAGTGCATTCGGCCCTCTTTGCATCGTCTTCACCATGGCTTTGGGCCCCATGTTTTTGTCGGAGAAGATATCATTAGGAATGTAAGCTTTCTTCACTCATATACTTAATATTTAAAAGTTATAAGAAATGTGATAAAGACAATAAAGTTTTATTCAGTAACTCTTTGGGCTTTACTTAATTTGATACAGGATTGTTGGGGTAATTATAATGGTGGCAGGACTCTATGCTATTCTATGGGCTAATAGCAAGGATCAAGTATCTTCTAAAACAGTAAGAGATGCAGGGGAACAAGAGCTACCTGTTAATGCATCTACATTGGGTGCTAATGCCAAACACACATGCCAATCTAATGTGGTTGATAATTCAACATCAATAGAAGAAGGACAAAGGCAAGGAACGGAACATGCAGTATGACCAATAAAGAGGGAAAATAACTATGTGCATATATAACATCATAAGACAACAAGGGGTGTAAATTTCGTTACGATAATGTTTAATTTTCTTAATGAAACATGCAATCATTTCAAATCCGATCAAACTTTACTAGTGAATGACTTAGAGCTTATTTATTATTTGGTTTCAATTCAATTTATATTTACATAGTGAGTTTTCTCAGATATCATGAAATCGGAAAGGTAGATATCAGCCCAAGGAAATCTGACGATTTCATGAACAGTTGTCACTCTGTAGGCCCATCGACCCAGCTAGCCAAAATATATCCAAAGAGGTTTCATCGAACTACATTTTATCACACACAAGCATACTAAATTTTTCTACGGGTGTAATATATAAGTAATATGCTACTTCACACTGGTTTGTGATATGACCAAAATTTACATGCAAATTCATAAAAATAAAGGGAGATAAAAGAAAATATTATAATTCTAATATTTAATCAAACGTGAAGGCAGTTAACAATAAAATAAAATTACTAATTACTTCATTATGAGCAAAAAATGAATTATATCACAAGTACAAAACAAGAAATATAAATAAAAT